CAGAATCCATAAATTTTATAAAATATCTTTAAATTTTTTAAAATTTTTTTTAGTAGGCAAAAATGTGATACAACATAAACTAAATTTTTAACAAGCCCCGATTCCCCCTCACACCCACACCAAAATTTCCCAGATCTGACTTATTTTGCGATGCAATGTTACTTTATTCATATAATAAATTCTTAAAACAGTTCAATATTAAAAAAAATGCAATTCATGGCCTTTACTTATAAAAATTTACTTCTTTGTCTTTACTTAAAAGAATTATTATTAAAAATTATTAAAAAAAAAATTGTTTTTGAAAAAAAATGCTTTTTCAAATTTTTTTTTTTTTGAATAATTGAACAATTGCTAAACTAAGACGATACTAAAAATATGGTAAATGGAAGTATTAAAACAAGTATTTAATAAATATCACCAAAAATAAATTTTAAAACCATTTCAGTGTTTAAAATGCAAAAAGAGTAGTTTTTAAGGCAAAAACGCAAAAAAACCAAAAAACGAAGTCCTCGGTTTTTTTGGCCAAAAAAACGGTTTTTTTGGCAAAAAAAACAAGAACCAAAAAAACAACTTACATCTCTAGTTGTAACCACAATTAAAGTAGGAGGCTACTTTGATTGAGGTTACAAACCTCTCTTAATTCTATAACTCCAAACTCTATAACTCTCTCTTTATAAATATACTATACTGGCTTTCTCAGCCTTGGGAAAAAGAATTAAGATTAAAAAAATATTATTTTTAATCTAAATAAATAATTTTTAAACAAAAAAAAGTATATATTAATAATGTTGTCAAAGAATAAATTAAGTTTGAAACAGACCAAGAATGTTATAGCTATTTTTTTTACTTTTTATATTTTCTATTATAATATTATTCTATTTCTATTAACAATAAAATGCAAATAATAATTTTGTAATTGGATATTGTAATTTTTTTTTTTTTAAAGGTATTGGCAGGCTTTATATGACTTTCCTCCTCTGGCACCTGCTGTGTAACAGATTTTAGAAAGAACTTAACTGATAGTAATGTAGTCTTTTTATGTCCTTAACTATAAACAATGACATTGCTGATAGGAAGCAAAACTTAAAAGATTATTTATAATTTTTTTTTTTGTTAACTCACCTCCTCAAAGCAGTGAAGGCCACTACAGATGAGGAGGCTACTTAATTTTAGTTATAACACTCTCTCAACTCTATTTCTCCAAAACATGAACCTTGACAAACAAGGCCTCTGCGAGAAAAATTAAGTTGAGCGCGGTATTACCAGGGACATGGTGGGGATCAAACTCAGAACCTCTCGTTTATGAAGTGAGCGCTCTACCACTACACCACTACCATATATAAATTTATATTTAATTATTTTTAATATTTAATTATATTTAATATTTAATTATATTTAATATTTAATTATATTTAATATTTAATTATATTTAATATTTAATTATATTTAATATTTAATTATATTTAATATTTAATTATATTTAATATTTAATTATATTTAATATTTAATTATATTTAATATTTAATTATATTTAATATTTAATTTAACGATAGGGTAGTACTTAGACTTAGTAACTTAATCTTTTCTAAATTCTATAAAGTGAAACTGAATTTTTCAATATGAGAGTATTTATACAAAAACATATATTTAATTATACAATTTGTAAAAAATCAACTTCACTACAATAATTATTACAAAATGGAATTATCATAAACTTATTATGTAATAAATTTTAATGCTTTTTCAAAAATCATTATTTTGTTTACAATTTGTATGTTAAATTGTCTAGTTATAATTGGTTTCAAAAGTTGCATTAACTCTTAATGTAAAGCTTTCTTAGTGGTCACTGTTAAAAAGAAAACCCTTGTTTATTTTTTTGCAGAATTCAAATTTATTATTTAGCATAATAACATTTGCAATAAACAATTCAATATAATTTATTTTTATAATTATAAAAACTCTTTTCTGTTTTTTTTAATTTTTATTCTAATGTTGTAATAATTATTTTAAATAAAATAACATCTTTTTGTTTTTCTATACATAAATTCATTCACAACAAGGCCACAAGCAATCTTTAATTACACTTGGAATTGACAGAAAACAGAATATGTAAAAAGCAAGAAAGTAGTTAACAGAAGACTTTAAAAATAATAAAACTTTTATCTGAGAACAAAAGAAAAACACATCAAGTTAAAATGAAGGGATGCAACTTTGTTAAATGACAAGTCAAACAAGCTTGAACTTTGGCTAATGAAACAGGTGATGATAGCTCATTTAAGCAGCAAATGTTATAGTATGGAAATATTCATTAGAAGATTCAGCCCAAACATAAAAATAATTTAATGCTATTGTTAATTTTAATGCTAAATTGCTTAAATAAGAAACTTTTATTAACAACAATCAATGACAATAAATTTCAGGGTCAAACATTTGAAAAAGTTGCTATTAATCTCAAAAAGTCTTGGTTTTCACACAACCAATTCTATGTTGCATGTTCCAG